GTTAGCGGATTAAGACCCTTGGGATGTACCCCTATGCCAACTAGGGACGCAAACGAGCCTCTCATCTTCTGACACGCATTGGTGATAGTGCTTTGGCGCTCTAGTGTTGATTGGAACAAGTTTCCAAGATGTTTCATTTTTTCCGTTTCATTTATCTCCCCTATTTCTGTTGTCCATCTTCGAGTTAGGCGTAATTTTTCATTTGTCTGTTTTGATTCTCCAAAAGTCATAATTGATGATTTTCCTACGTTGAAATTAAAACGCCATTGTTTGGAGTAATCAATGACTATTGACATCATGCGATCTAATGCTTGTTTGGTGTTGGCTATTAGAGCAATGTCGTCCGCATATGTCGCAATGCAGCATGGGATGTCGTGCATCATTGTTCCGTAACCTGAGTTTTCTATCATAATCAGGAGCTCGTCAATGTAAATGGTATACAGCCAGCCAGATAGAATTCCGCCCTACCTCACAGATTGTTCAATGGGAAACCACTCTGACTGATACCCTTTAAATACTATAGCACCCGTTAGGTGTTTATATTGTTCATAAAGGATGTTCCAGAAGCGCCCGCGGATTCCTAGGTGATGCAGCTTTAGAAACAGACCAGAGTGATACACGGTATCGTAGGCTTTGGCGCTGTCAAAACAGGAAATAAACGTTTTTTGACCGCGTTCTTTGTTATAATATATTGTCTCCAGAATGTTAAAATTACATGAGGTACTACATAGCCCCTTTTCATAAGCGTATTGATGTCTACTTTTAGTAAGCCTCGTTTTTGACGTTTTCTCGTGTTTGGTTATTCTTTGTTTAATGAGTTTCTCCCAGAGTTTCTCTATTGCGGGGAGTAAGGAAATCAGTGACGAAAATGCCATTAATCTGCTTATGTAGATTCATTTGCACATATTTTTTGCTAGTATTTACAAGATTCGTATATTCGCCACAGAATGAACGCATTGAACAAGAAAACAATGTCTTTAAATTACGTTTCAAAATACAGACTCCAACTTAAATGATGCAATGTTGTTAGGCACGCAGTTTGTGATCGAAACAAACTGCACACAGTTAGCTTTTTAAATAAGGCAGATGTTAACGCTTAAAGCTGAGATTAGCCCGTATTTCCCGAATTGTCCCCAGGTCCGTGCACGTCATAGGCAAGGATTTTCTGATTTGCTGTTACATTACTTCTGCAGGGATTTCTTTCTCAGATATGTTTTTTGCCGTAAAAGTTTTCTTTATGACACTTCTATCATACATTGTTAACTTTAAATACTCATCAGCACGGTACTTCACTTCACTTCAATGACACTTCTATTCTATCATAAACTCTCCCCTCCATACGTTTGGCAACCTTAGCTCCCCCATTGGACTACGTGTCTCTTTACCTTTGACTTTTTATTTACTTAAAGGGACAAAGTGCGTAAATGAAGTCTCACTTTTGATCTTCATAGTATTTCCAATGGATTAATAAGTACAAGATCTTTCATTTGACACCAAAAAAGCTCAAACAGACCTCATCAGAGTTGACACTTGATCATGACAAAATATTTTTGATCTATCAATTTATATATGTCAATTAAGTTTTTAGCAATGCCATAGAAAGATGGCATTGTTGTTTGCATTAATTATCAATTCATTTTTGACAGGATTTTCAAGCATACGCCATCTTTTAATCCAAGAGTTATTTAAAACATACACTTTTTGTGAAAAGTGGTAATTCACTTTTTTCAATCTCTGAACTTCAAATGCTGTTTTCTATGCAAGTAATTTTCACTTCAGTATTATCCAAAATTAAAGTTTTTATCATATTTGATTGACTGGGTGAGTGACATGTCTCAAACAATATTTTGTCTTTTTTCATTCAAAATAGGCGCATTGCCTGTTTAACCTGCGATGAAAATACGTATACTATTGATGGAAACGTAATTTGACTTTATTTCCAAGACTTCCAAATTTTCTCATTTTTTTCTTCGGTTACAATAGGTCGAAAATTGATGATACATTTGATGAACTTTTGAAAATCAACATTTCGATGTTAACCAATGGATAAATGGTAGGTTTGCCAGAATATCCATGCATCCAAGCCCTTGAAAGAATACGAGTTGGGTAGGTAATTGAATAAGCTAACATTATTTAACAAAAAATGTATACGTTTCTTCAGGTTCAGCAACGTTATAGGGCTTTAAAGTCAAAATTGTTTTTCAAAAAACTCCCCCCATTGAAATAACACAGGAGGCGAAAAATGATTCTCAAAAATGACTTTGAAGCTCTGTAACTTTAGAATTCATCAAGTAAACTAAACACTTAGTGAACAAAAAAGTTAGAGAATTCAATTTTCTATATAAAAATATTCTTTTTTGCTAAATCTTTAACTGAATAGATATCCTGATTTCTGATTTGCCCCGTACCCACCATTTCCCATTGGTTTACATGGGAATGACGATTTTCAAAAGTTCATTAAAATCATCAATTTTCGACCTATTGTAATTGAAAAAAATTGGGAAAACTTAGAGGTATTGGAAATAAAGTCAAGTTAATTTTCCATCAATATTTTAAGTTATTACATTGCAGGTTAAGTAAATACAAATTCAAACGTAAAGAGTCTTTAACACTTCAATGGGGGAGCTAAGGTTGCCAAACCTATAGAGGGGAGTGTACATTGTATAACTTTGTTAGATATTCATTTCAGCAAGACTTTTACAAGGCCAAAGATATATTTTCTATGTACGGGCCTGGTATGATGACGTCACGTTCACAATTTTCCAATCAGATGGCATTCTCATCGATATCACCCCACCAACAGTTTCTCGTATCAGACATGTGCGTCATGCATTATCGATTCTAACGTTTTGTAAAGTATTGCATTTTGAATTATCTACGGCTAAGTGTTTTCAATTAACCTTGCCAATATTAAGCAAGCTTATTAATACGGCCTACACTACTCTTAACTGACAGTGACAATGTTGCCCCCTTAGGGAACACGTCAAGAGATCAATGTCGCCAAATGGCTATATGTCATCAGTTAGGGGGGGGGGCGGTGTCTGGAACCCAAAAATAAGCATCACCGACATTGATCCCTGGGGAATTGCATCAGCCAATTTTTGTTTCACAATCATCTTTGCATGCCTCCATATTGAAATATTTAAGAGTTGTTCAAATTTTGAACTTCTTTTTCACCATTATAGCACAACCAATATATAAAACCCCTATCTAATGAATATGAAAGACCCATCGACAAGGTACATGATAAGAATTGTTAAGAATTGCGTGTGTCAACATTCCGTATATGGTTAACAGGGGGGAGGGGTCTAGGGCTTAACTGATAATATATATATATATACAGGGTGTGCCAAAAAAACGCCACTCTTTTTCAAGACACTATAGCTTTTTTATTTTCCAACCTACATATCCCAAATTTTGCAGTTATATAGTACCAAGGGTTCTAAGTAATAATATAATGTAACAAGTCCTTGGCATTATATTTGATCTAAAAGAGGAGTTCAATTGGTCTGCCACCCTATTTGATGATAGATTTTAGTTTTAGTCGCCTTGCTGATATAGCAGTATCAATGAAATGTTAGCTATATCTTTTTCAACGTGTCTTAATTGCGAGCTTTAGTTGAGCAATTTTTAAGATTGGGTGGCTTCATACCATCTCCTGGAGACCTCCCTATACCCTATACTCACTGGTGTTTGCATTAGGCCTACTAGCTTGGCGGTTATCAGGGCGTATCAGTTTAGGAACATTTTGCAAATTATGCTTATTTCTCATGGCACACCACATGTTTAAATGAGACGCCGGTGACATGTCTTATTCAAGTAAAAGTGTATAATTCATGAGTCATGGCTAGATAACAACTTCAAGTTTCATTTGGTATGCAAATTATGATTTTGTATCAAAAATTAAAAAAGTTATAGCATTTTGAAAAAAAGTGGCGTTTTTTGGCCCACCCTGTTACTTCTTCTGTTAATTTATGTTTTTATACATTGAACTTCCGACGTGCTCCCTTACTCATAATATTACCAACAATAAGTTCTAAAAAGCAAGCCCAATGTCCTGTTTAAGAATCTCTATTCTAACTATAACATAGGGATGCAATTGATTTCATCCTGTGTATCTGCAGAACATATGCGGGATGAAATTAATTGCATCCCCATTATAAGTCAATGACACCCTTGCTGAAATCCTCATTTTCTCAAAAGAACTCAATTTGATTTAGTCTCAACAAGTAGGTTTATGTTAGTGAGTATTGCTAGAATCAATTTTCAATACTAAGAATAGGGGTTCTTAGACAGGGCATTAAAGCTTAACCAAGGCCTTTTTGAAATTTCTATAACTATAACTCCCCTCCGCAACTTTGAATCTATTTCATCAATACTTCGTTTCCCATAAGTTTTCGGTATTTCCTATTGGCTACATGTACCTCATAAAAATGCTCATATTCTTCAAGGTCGAGGAAAGTGATGGTTCTTACGTTGAGTTCGATAAGGACTTTACTGGTAGTGTTGATAAACTCAGCGTCCGTTGGCCAGGTGTCTTTGCAGATGAGGAATCTGGCATTTCACATTTTCTGTTGGGAATAGGAACTGCAGTACTGGGTATCTTAATCAATTCTGCCGTTATTCATTTCTCGGAATTCGTATTTAATTCTGATATGATTATCTTAATAAATAGTTGAAGTTCCATGTTTCGCTGTATGGTTCTTCTGATATAAATGTAGTATGTAATTTGGAAGAGACGTTGTGTTTTGTGGTTTATAAATGTGTTTGAATTTTGATGAGACTATTCTGATGCAATCTGTGTCATTGACAATTTATTTATATGTAAACTTCTGCATTCTGATGCAACCTTTGCAATTGATGATTTACTTAATAATGTGTAACCTTTCTCATTCTGATTCAGTCTGTGTAATTGACTATTTATGTCGAGCTTTTCTCATATAGTTGATGATGCTTACAAATTTACGAAGCAGTCTGATACAAAAGTACAGTTAACTGGGATGTCTTTAACACCAGGCCAGAAATATTACGCAACAATAGTTGCAGTGTCAAACACTGGACTAGAAGCAACGAAAGTATCTGATGGGTTTACAGTTGACATAGAACCGCCTATCCCTGGAATAGTATTTGATGGCAGATGTAAGTGAATATATATTTGCATTTGATTATATTATGAGTTCAGTTTATTTCAATTAGTTCTTTTTAAAAAATGATGAAATATTGCAGTTTTATACGACGCAGACTACACCAATGAGACAACTATACTACATGCCCAGTGGCATGGATTCTACGACCGACACAGTGGAATAGACTACTATATCTGTTGTGTTGGAACTACATCAGACACATCAACATGTGATGTGATTCCATTTCATGACGTGGGGCTACAAACCAGTGTGTCGATTGCGATCCCTGGTGCATTGCAACCTGGTAATTCGCTTTTAATAGTACTATGATATTATTATTATTTTAATGTATTTAGGTATTATTTATTTTGACCTAAAACCCTGTTTTCTTTTAAACCTTTATCTGAAACTATTGTTTATTCCCTAGACATTTATATCAGGTAAATATTACACCAAAGTGCAGGCAGTAGATGCAGTTGGGCATCGCTCAGCTGTTATATCCTCTGATGGAATAATCATTGACATAACGCCACCAGATATACTGCATATCACAAGTACAAATGCAAATCTACTTCGGAATCCATCATTTGAAGAAGACGAATCAAATTTTGACATTCATTGTCACCCTCTCTGGTCCAATTCAACCAGTACTCTTCCCCTTCACTGGAAAACGACAACCGTTACAAAGGTTGCTATAGTGAACAGTAAAGATGGTGAAGCAAGCGATGGCAACCAAGCGTGTCTTTTACTGGGTGGTATTCAGCAAAGTGTAGCCACTCAAGTAGGGAATGTGTATGCAGTGCAATTTTCTGTGAGCCATCCTCCTAGACCACCTATAGAACATGCGCTACAAACGGGCAAAATAACTCTTCCTGGTATTGAGGAGACCTTTCAAATCTACCCTCGTCATGAAGTGACAAAGAATAACAATGGCCATCCAAATTTGCAATCGACGCCATTGTCCCATATAGCTTGGCACAAACATCTGTATACATTCGTTGCAACTGAACCTAAGTCGACACTTCGTATAGAAACGCTTGCACGGAACGCTGGACTGTTAATTGATGCAGTGAAAATTGAACTATTGAGTCACTCTTCTACAAAGGGAGATATTGTAGTCGACTACCAACAAACCGGGGAATGGTCTTTAATACAAGCCCATTGGCAAGTGTTAGACCTTGAAAGCCATATCGATGATATATCATGGGCGATAGGTTAGTACAAGTAACTTCATTGTTGACCATTAGGTAGCCTTGCCCAAGTCGGTATTTTTTACTTATCTGATCTTGAATTATTACCGCCTTGTACAATCCAATACATCTCCGCTGTTATTATGCTGAAATATTCAACGGTTTCGAGATTTCCATAATACCTACGCTATCAGGGGTATCGCGAAGCCTTATTGATTGACAGATATCGCGTGGACACGACGTGTGACTTCAGGCTGAATGACCAATCAAAACGTTATCAGGTTGAACAGTATAAACAAAACAAACTTCCCATCTACGACTTGAAATTCAATGATCTAAAGTGATCGAGTGTTTCTTTAGAGTTACAATATATTATGTAATTAAATGTACATTTGAAGGTAAGAGTCATTAATATAAATTAAATCATGCGATTCAATGTTGATATATAACTGATTTCGCGATGAAAATGCACGAAGACCTAGACAGTCCAATGTAGCGGGTCATGTTGTCGTCGATCGGTGATTGAATCTCAGCCTACATGTTCAGCGATCGTTTCAACGTTTATTGTTCAAATCATCTCACCTTTGGTTATCCGATCGATGCCCCGGCATCCACTAAACTCTCATTGATATTTATCTGATAAAATATTTGTATTTTCATGATGAATTCGTGCAAGATTTCACGGACGTGAAAAGTCCCGGTGAAAAGTGTACTTGTTTTTGACCGTGCATAAAAATGAGCTAACGCTAGAGGGCCGTCGTTGATTGGTCAAATTTTACCGACATCAACAAACTGTCGGTAAAGCACGTGGCTTTCTCTTTGGTTCAAGGCGGTCATAATAGAAATCAATATAAGTAAAAGAGACCGACTTGGGCAAGGCTAAGCATTAGGTTCTCTAGTCTAATATGTTATCATATTCATTTTATTGTTGTAATTTTGTTTATAACGCTCATCATTCTATTGTAAATAGGACTAGTAAGAGGGGGAACCCAGCTTCAAGGGTATGTTGGTGTCGGTAGGAAGTCGTATGGAATCAACACGAAGCTCCATCTGGTTCATGGCATGCTGGTACATGTGACACTGATAGTGCGCAATAACGCAGGATTGATGAGTGTTGTATATGCTGAACCCATTGTGATTGACCGAACACCTCCTGTTATCGGACTTGTATCGCACAGCAAAGATAATGGTATGGCATTGTATTGCGACACTTGGTACGAGTTTATGTATATAGGGTTAAAATCATAGTAATCCGCCTGGATTATGCTCAAAAGGGTGTTTAGTAGAGATTACTGACAAAAATAATGATACAGATATCATAAGAAATGTGCTTAACTACTGGTCTGATAAAAACTGTTTCTAGATATCGGGTACCAAAGTGGACAGGTTTTGATTGCCAAGTGGGACGTTGAGGATGATGAAACAACGATTAGCCATTGCACTGTTGCATTCGGTAAATACTGAATATCAGCAATATTGATCAAATTAAACGTGATTCATATTGTGTCAATGCTAGATAACTGAAAACAGATAACATATACAAATACGCGTTCGATCTATTGTGTACACATTATTATTGTAGGTAATTCTCCGGAGTCAACAGATATCACAGATTTCAAAAAGGTTCTTTTTTCTGGAAACCCCATGCTGTTTAACTCTACAAATCATGTTAACCTTAAACACGGTACCAAGGTTTATGCAATTGTGCGTTGTTTTAACACACTTGGTCTTTGGAGCCAGACATCGTCAACTGGAATCACGGTTATATCAGAGCCTCCAGATGTGTCACATGCCCTGATTGAATCCCTGCCAAATAAAATGTCACATTTTCCATGTAGTGATTGGATCCAAAATGACATTCATACAATTCGATTAAAATGGGATGGATTCCAGAAGTCAACAAATCACATAGATTACTATCAGGTACACTTTAGATCGTACACCAAAACAATTTGGGGCTTTCGTGCAAGCACTCAGTGGGAGTTTGTTCCCAACCGCTTTTATAACTGCCTTATACAAATTAATTACCATCAAGGTAATTTTTGTTACGTAATCATAACCATTGTTACGTCATATTATGTAATATTATGTAATATAATTTATAAGTTATGATTTTATAATATGTATTACATACCTAGCGAAGCATTTGTATGGAAGTCAATGGGAAAGTTAGCGAGCTATATCCACCGATATTGCCCGATTACCCCGATATAGCCCGCTTACCTCGTTTTGATATTAGATTTCTTTAATAACCATGATAATATCATGACGTCACGTCATTGATACAAAGTAACCATGGGAACAAAGGCATGTAATACATCAGTTATGTCACTATGACGTGAAATATGCCTTCGTTCTTGCCCAAATATAGAGCCTCCCAAGGTCGGCCTATATTGGGAGAACTCAGGCATATTTCACGTCATAGTGACATAACCTCTAAATATATATCTCACACACAAAACTTATCTTTTCTGTGGTTTATATTCATCATATATATAAACCCTAATGCTTCATTAGGAAATTTATGGGAGGAATATACCACACACTCTGTGCTATCTTTCATGCCTGCTATTGCTCCACCCACATGTCACTGTCAACCAATAGCATGCTTGTCTTTCCTAATCTCACACCATGTTAAGGATCATACCCTCTGTTCCATATCTTCTTGCTACATACTGTTGGAACACCGTCACCGGGACTTCCATTTTACGTTCAATCAAACTATCTTATATAATACCATAATTAATTAACTGATATATATTTACATTTACTTCTTTCCACCCTTACCCCTTCCTTCCACCCAATCATTCACAGTTAGGAGCACTAATATCGGTCCGGGAGTTTGTTCCCAACCGCTTTTATAACTGCCTTATACAAATTAATTACCATCAAGGTAATTTTTGTTACGTAATCATAACCATTGTTACGTCATATTATGTAATATTATGTAATATAATTTATAAGTTATGATTTTATAATATATATATATCTCACACACAAAACTTATCTTTTCTGTGGTTTATATTCATCATATAAAAAATCTAATGTAGCGTCTAGCTTTTAAATGTTGTAGATATTTGGCTTAATTTGTTGATATGTTATACTTTTATCACTTTGCAAGGTGAACATCGAAATGACGAATGGTGATGTAAATGGCACAATATATGAACTTATTAATGATGGGCGTCGACAGATAACTATGGAACCATTAACTTTACAACAGAACACTCATTATAAGGTAATAAATTTAAGATTACACACTACTCGTAGTTTATAAAATTCTAATTGTTTCTTCGTTCTTAAACGTAAAACAAATAGAAGATGATCAAGGAAGACTAACATTCGTCCAACGAAAATGAAAGTTTAAGGTTTTATGTTTTGAAATAAAGGGTGTCCAAGAAACCATGAGATTTCTTTGAGGGAGATATAAGGCATGGGTAATTTTCTTCAAATTTAGTGCACTTATTAAACATACATTGAGGAATAACTGACATGACACTTATCTTTTATATCACCGCATTTATTGATAATTGAATTCTTCATCCCCACAAACCCCGGAGTTGTCAGAGAAATGCAACAGATTATGTCACATTTTGTAAACTTTAAAACAAAATCTGAACTATAAAAGCAATGGTTTGTTTATAAGTTTGAGCATTTTCCTCACATTCTTCACTTTCATAATAATGATACATATGAGTCAGGAATTATGCCCTTTTGGCCCCTCACTTAAATGTTGGTGAAACATGCTTTTTATTACTGTCCTAGTTATATTTGATAAGTATATGTACCTTTTCCCAAGTTTTAATGCATAATGAACCCCCTGCTGAGAGTTAAAATAAGTATCCTAACAAAAACCAAATAGCCATCATCATAGAAAAACCACCAATGTCAACATGTATGACATTGTAGCAAAAACTTAAAGACAAATAAAGAATTGAAAGAAATTTTCAAACTTTTGAATTTCCCGCCAGTTTAATTTGAAGGGTGAAAACCAAGATGACTAACACTTGATAAGGGAAATATCAGGAAAAAGGTTGCTTCACTTTAATTTTCACATTGAGCACAGCTTTATGGTTTGGATTTTTTTCATTGATTCTGACTCTTCATGATAAGGGTCATGTATAGAGATTATAAAATTGAAACCATAAAGCTGTGCTCAGCATGAGTTGTGCAGTAATATATACAACTCAACCAACACAATTGAAGTGTCAAAATTGGTTCCTGAGCAACTGTGAACACAACAACTCACTCATCAAGAAATACAATTCAATGTCTATACAAAGAAAGTAAGCAATGTTTTGAAGGATATGTTTCAAACCTTTTGTAAAAAGTATTCATTTAGTATTTGCTCTTGAATTTTTTCAATTCTGGCATATTCTGGTTTTCTATGATACAGTTATTAATAACAATGATAAATCAGTTATTAAATACTCGATATATCCTTCGGTAAATACAAAATATCAACCCTCAGTCCCTTCGGTCCATCGGGTGGTGTATTTAACTCAGATATACCCTGTATGAAAAATCTCCCATTAAATAACCTCTATGTACTCCGGGGTTGGGGCGATGTAGACTTTCAGTTATACATCAGTGTATGTTTAATAAGTGCACCACATTTTAAGGAAAATCATGCACTCCTTATCTCCCTCAAAAAATTGTCATGAGTTCTTGGACACCAAGTAGTTATTTGTTTATGGTACTGATATACAAACACATAACTGAAATACATCATAATACAATAACATTATATTTGTAACATCACCAGTCGATGTCGACTGATGAGACAATGTTTAGATTTAGTGTTGATTGCCTATTCAACCCTAGAGATTCTAACGGGGGGTACCTCCTTAAAATACTCCCACCACCTGTTGTGATTTTTTTGATAACTTTTGAAGTAAGCATCGGTTTTGCCTGAAGCTGCTCCTAGGGATATAGGAAAAATTCAGTGGAAAAATTATACATGAGGGTCTACTAACTACCTTTTTAATGTCCCAACAACATAGTGTCCGTCCGTCCGTCCGTCCGTCCGTCCGTCCGTACGTCCGAGTTTTCTCCAAAACGGCTACAGATATCACCCCAAAAGTTTCAGGGATAGCTTTTGAGTATATACAGATGTGGTAGAAAAAAATCGACTTTCTACCTACTTCCTGTCGGCCATTTCAAAGTCAAATGCTAAAATCCTTGTCTGCAAACTTTAACAAAAACGCATCTTCTTCAACTAACTTCATTCTACATCTGATTAGGTTTTAGATATGTTGGGTCAGTCATGGCAGCCAATTTGAATGTCTTAAGAAAAGTCAGCGAGCGTTAATACTTTGTATCATATGATTAAGGTGATTTTGAGTTTTCATAATAAAACTGTTTAGTAGCTTGATAAAAACTTTAAGGTATCCTGTATTGAAAAAGCTCACGTCACTGTCACAATTAGTTTTATGTGATAATTTTGTAAAAAGAAATTGGCAAAAAGTCATAACTGCTTTTTTATTGGCGGCCATTTTGGATTTTTTCATCCTAAAATCTTCTCTACAAACACTACTTGTCTACACGTTTTGAGTTAAACCATTTCATAGATCAATTTCAAATTTTCAGGGATGATTCTAAGTATGAAAATTTCTAACTGATTAGCTTTTAGGCATTACGGGTAAATGTTAAGTCGGCCATTTTTGATTTTCCGCCCTAAAATCTTTTCTGTAAAGTATTGTGTACACGTTTCAAGGTGAGCCATTTGACCAATCAATTTCAAATTTACAAGAATGATTCTTAGTGTCATACTCTAAAACGGTTTCAGTTTTTTATCACACCATCGGTGGGATAACGTCTTCATGATGACGGCGTGATTGTTACCGTGATCGTCCTGCTTTTTTGTCATCGCGATTTCAGGAAAATCACTCATCGGATTTTCTCCAAAGTCGCACACATGATAGAGGAAATCAAGTTCTAGAGCTGATTCACGTTTGGGCGGCCATATTGAAGGATTTTCAATAAATCTTGTCACTGTCATTTTATCGAAATATAATATTAGAAAGGTTTGTTTAAGATTCAAGTCGATCGATCAAATCGTTTTACTTCTACGTACATGTAACAAAACCATCATGATAACGTAGCACCTACCTCAAAGAAGATACATAATGAGGTAGGTTTTACGTTATCATGATACTTTTGTTACGTAGTAAGCTAAACAATTTGGCAAATTAACTAAAATCTTCTAATCTTTCTAAAATTACATTTTACCAGTCTCCATGATATGAATAAAATCCCACTTTTGGTTGACAAATATATCAAATTAATGATCTAAAGAATTTACCAAATCCCCATAGATATACATATATCATGAACTTAATGTTACGGAGTAGTATGCCCGGGTTACGTTAAACGCCAGTGTTTGTCCTAGTTCTGATTTGGTGCTAATTTAATGTGCAGGGGTTTGTGTTTTATTCTTATAATTAATCATTGATCATTTTATGTTTTAGGCAAGTATCAAAGCAGTTGACATGGTCGGTAGTGTCAGCGATGGCGTCCAATTAATGTTTACCGCAGATACAAATCCTCCTAATAAAACGGGTATTTAAGTTATTCTATTACATTAATGCTGTATGTTCTTTTTCATCGCACTTGTAGTTTCAGTAGTCATCATAATGGTTGAGTGATCTTTATCGAACTATAACGATTGTGATTGTGCTCCGCATAGGAAACCCGTTTCTCTGATTATAATCAAATTATTGCACTTTTTGATCATCTGATTTCAGGTATTCGTATTTCTCATAAATGGCTGGAAGGAACTACTGTTCGATTTTTATGGGAAGGTGTATTCATATCCGACAGCGACCTTTATTACGAACTTACTATTGGTACAAATCCTGGCGGAAGTGACATCATGAAATGGGTTGAAACAAAGCAGACGTCATTCACACTTTATGCTGTAGATAATTCATTTGAACATCATTTGACTGTGACTGCAATTAACGAAGCTGGGTTTTACACGTCGACCATTTTATCATTTAACTATGATAACTAAGATCCTATTTTAAAATAGGTTGTGTTCGTAATCAAGCCATAAACTAGTTCAACAAGTTAAACCCAATACCACGGCTTTCATTTATTAATCTGAATGTTATTGTTGTCGTGATTGGGTTTAACTTCCGTGCTATGCTTTTATTTGTTGCAAATTCTCACTATCAGTTATAAATTAAACGCACATGGAATTGCTGGAATTGCGCTGCCATAGTCCACTATTAAATATTTTGCATCAAGGGCCGAATGGGCACGGACGTTAAACCTAGGGCGGGCCACAAGATATGTCAGATAAGAAATAAGGCTCAGACTAGGTTTAACTTGTTGAACTAGCCATAAACTTGATTCAAACATGACTGTGCTCTAATTGAATTTCTCAACCAATAAGAATGCAGCATAGCCGATATAAGGCGTTTTCCAATTTTTCATAGATGCGCGACTGTGCTCTATTCGATCAGCTTCCAGGAATCTATGTACATGTATTGTGTTGTATTTTTGACGTCACACCTTGGAATGGCGAATATAGCAGCAAGTTTGGATATTTCAATGACCTCAATCCCCGATTCTCTTAATAATCTTTTCATTTTTATGTTTGAATCGGAATAAATAATGATATTCGTTTTGTCGTTAGACAAAATGTGAATACACTCATCTTCGGTTCGTGCTTTGTAGGACATTCTGTCCAATTCGTGCTGAATTTCGCCATATCGAATGGCCTATTATTATGTATTCCTTAATCAATGTTCGATTTACAATTATATTTGTAACACATATATTTTGGCCTGTTAAAAGGGTCGTCTTTCATATTTTATGAATCGTATACTAAATATGACCGAAATAGACTTGATGTATTAGAACTCTGAAATATCCGAAATAGCTAGAAATTGAAACCGTGCGATATCAAAATTCGGACGTTATATTGACTATGTTACTAATGTTATTTCTTTTGAGCTTCCTGTAAAAGTTCTTGTATAAATTGCTTTAGCTACAGAAGCTTTTATAAAAAAACGAAATCAGTCCTGGCGAGAAGCGAGAATTACAAAAAAGAATGATATATATTTATATATACTGTATATATATATATATTATATAATATATAATATATATATATATTATATATATAATTATATATATATGTCGTAATTGAATAATGGATATACTTATTACGTAATACATTCGCATGCTTATCCATTTGTGCGATTTAAATGATAATCAGTTATCTTGAAGAATAAAAGTGAAACCGGTAGCGACTGAATTACTTCTTCTGTTAGTTTCTGTTTTTATAATCAATTTTCAACTATATATATACGAGGGGTGATCAATAAGTAATGGACGCTTTTTAACACGGAAGCTTTATATAGACCAATACCTTCCATTTTCTTACCAGTGATACATAATTTAATTATCTATCAACTCTGAAGATTTGAAAACAAAACATGTAATATATTTTGATATATCTTTATTTCCGTGGTATAGGAGGTATAGGTACCCCGGGACCGACATAACGTCAAACATTCTGAAGCTATTTTAGCTTGTTTAGCATGCAACACAGTTAAGGTATGAGGTTCCATGTCCAATATAGTCCATTTAAAAACCTGTAGTATTGTTCTAAATAACGCCATAGTTGGCTTCTAGGGTACCTTGTGTGCCACTATTTGGTATCAAAATAAAGAGGATGAGTTCAACTTTCATTTGAATTACGAAAATAGCGATGTAGGTCAAAATAGTTCCGACGTGAGCATGTTTACTACGCGTTTGCAAATCATCTCAGAATTGAGGAAATGGTAGCATACGCGAGTTACAATAAATGAACGCTGATATTTCAAAAAGTAACCTGACTCCCTATAATTTGATGTAGATCAATCGAACCACTTTATGAACAGGTGCATTTTGATACATAACGACTATGGAGGGTAAGCGTTTTAAAGTTTATCACACACGCCATATGTGCTAAGTATTGATATGAATTTTCGAATTTGGTGTTGGATTACGGTACTTACGGTACCTTGAATGCAGGCTGAATAAAACAAACTATTATGGTCATGAATTACCCCATTTTGTAATGCCATAGTTGATTTTGAATATTTTATCATCACTGTGTGGTATTCATGCCCTCTACATAGGTTCCATCAAGTGCTACATGTACACAATGCCTCATCCTCTTAACTCAAGATTGTGAGACAAGGCTGAATCCATTCTCTGACATGGTAGCAAGATGCAGTTGCACGGGTTGTTTTATTTCATCAATGTCAATAAACCTGCATCCCTTCTCTAATAGAAATAAGTAGTATAGGAATAAATAAGTCACGTGTGGGCTGATCTAGACAATATGGTGCATTGGCCAAGGGCTCAATTTTGAGGTCCAGGGATATTGTTTTCTGAACATTTTGAGATCTTTAGGCAGGTGCATTGTTCATATGGACGGTACGGGTATTTCCTTCTCTCACCAACCCCTTCTTCCACAATGCTTCCTCAAATTGACCTGCAAACCCCGACCATAAAACACTCTGACATCACAATACTTACTGTTTGTGTGTTACAAGTCAGCAAAATATTTCAAACAGCACAACACTTGTTGCATATGAAAAAAGTTTAAATCTAACTGAAATTTGCAAAACTGGCTATAATGAATAGGTGACGTAAATGTCGGTCCCGGGGTACCTGTACCCTCTTCACGGAAATAAGGAAATATCAACATATATTATATATTTTGTCTTCAAATTTTCAGATTTGATTGATGATTGAATGATGTATCACTGGGAGGAATATCAAAGGGATTGGTCCATAAAAAGTATCTGTGTACAAATGCGTCCGTTACTTATTAATCACCCTCGTATAAGGCACTGAAATATATATATATAATATCTCCCGAGGGACCACAGGGAAAAAAAAATTGGAAAACATGTGAAAAAAAATTGAAAAAAAAATTTAAAAAAAATATAAAAAAATGTTTTAAAAAAATTGAAGGAGCGGGACCGGGATGGATACAGCGTCCTTCTTCCAATAGTTTGCATTTGTTCGGATGATAATACGAAAATTGAAAGATTGAGAAACCTTTCGAATGTACTATGAAAACTCAACTACCCTACACAGATAATA